AGACAAAGAACGGCGGCCGCGCGCGAAGGCAAAGTTCTATGAAAATCTCTTGATAAAACAGATAAACAACAAATAAAGTTTTACGATATTAAAGAGTTAAAAATAGCATCACTTAGGGCGCCTAATTAACCACAGGAAGCCCAACAGAAGATCAAGTATGGCCTGATTAAAAGTGGTTAGAACGTCTCAAAACACAAAAATTCTCGAGATAAACACAAGGTAAATGTTTAGTTTAGTTTATGCTTGCTCTTGGGTATGAAACACAACATAAAGCGATCTATTCTGTTGACGTGTTTATCAACTTGTTGGTTTCACACCTGTTGAAAATATGAATATTTCGGTAACTTTGGTCGGTTCTAGCGAAGCATAAACACATTTACCCAACGATATTTTTACATAGATCGAAAGAACTCTTCCTTGACATTTTATCCTGMAAAGATCATTTGATTTGATCATATCGGTCTTTGTCAAATCGACGGCTATTTTGATAGTAGTTTTAACGATCAAAAACAGGTGTCATTTATAAAAATTCGCCAGAAATTTTAGATATAAGCCACAAGTTTAAAACTCGCCCAAATGAAAGAAAATGAGTGATATTTTTATCTTATAAATGTTTTAAGCATTAAACATTGCTGCATTAACCAAACGAGGCCATCAGTTTATCTCCATTCCATAGCTCGAAAATTAGCATATTTACATCGTTCCACGAAACTTCAATTTACTCATAAATAAAACGTTATTTTCAAAAACCAAATACATGGTTGTTTATCTTATATAATAGGGTACCTAAGTTCAGAGTATRAGCGAAATCGATTTTTCAAGAGTTGGCACGTTATGTTTGATTTTTACTGACATCCGCTCTTAAATTAATCTGATCGTCATCCAGTACTTTTCGTTTTCTATTTCATAAAACGATGAACAAATGCTGGATATTGCATTCAAAGATCGCAATATGTATACACTTTAGCTGCGACGTTATAAAATGAAAATCCTTTTCTTGCTTTACACCGAAGTCCTTAATTGACGGGGTTCTACTGTAACTTTGAAACCACGAAAATCAATTTTCAACGGCGATAGAACGGACAGCGTTTTTTGAAATAACTTTAAACTGGCTCTGAGATGGGATGGGTTCACTAATCAGTATAATTTATTTTAGATTCAAAGTCACATGATGGATTTTCGTCTTGATGCGGCATGATTCGTACTCAGTACTGTACGGCCCAAAATCTTCAAGTTCCTTCAGATGAATTAACAGCCGAAACAAATTTAAGGCCGTGTCACACTGGCGTTTTTTTCGTGCAACTTGTGTCGCGCAAAAAAATGTTGAAGTTGCACGAGCGTTTTTTTACGTGTGACACCCCCTCATGCAACWTGAACATTTCATTTTTTTGTTGACAGAAAAGTAGAACTGGCTTCTACTTTTTTCAACATTTTTCGGAAAAACGCGTGTGTGACATGGTCTCTTGCAACTTCCAAATTTTTCAATTAGTCGCACGAACCCATAATAAAGCGAGAATCTGTCCTGTTGTCACTTGTTGTAATAATCAACAAAGATGCCCGACGCCATCTTTGGCGAAAGCGATAATTTTGAAGAAGAAAACGAGACAGAAAGTGAGATGATCGTACATTTTCAATTTACGCGTGCAACTTGAACATTTTTGTGTGCGAGCTAAGTTGCAACGGAATTTTGCTAGTGTGACATGGCATCGTGCAACTTCAACATTTTTTTGCGCGACACAAGTTGCATGGAAAAAACGCCAGTGTGACACGGCCTTTACTAACTTTTCCCAAAAGCACTCTTTGATTGATATTATTGTTTTCTTCCACTAGCAAGGAGAATCAGGCTCATTCACAGAAAGTAAAGTAATATCCATGCAAGGTGTATTTTTAACTTTGCTTCCCCTACATTCATAAAAAACCGTACCTTTTAGATTTTCAATTTCAGTTTGTTTCAGTTCTTGCGGAAGAGCAACTAATTGACTTATCCATCCATTGAACATTTTTTGTCCACCTTCGGCACCAATTTTGTAATGCAACTCTCCAGTGTCAAAAAGATCCACGTTTGCTTCAGGTGAGCTCACAGATTTCTTCAGTACTGCATTGAGGTATGTTTTGCCTGTCTTGGCTTGTCTATTCCACGTGACAGTCATGTGATACCATTGCCCGATGGGAAAATCACTAAATGCAGTTCGAGAAATGGCTTTTAACATCATTTAAAAAAAGACACTTTAACTTGTGTGATGTATTTATGCTTTAACTTAAGCTTATTTCAAATTCTGTAATATTCCAAGACGTCAGGCAAGCATTCTATACGTAGTGTATAAAGTACGAAAGAGTGTGTTTTATCGGGAGATAAAAATCCGAGCCGAAGGCGATCAGTGCTTAATCGGGATATAAAGGCCCATCATGTGACCCAATATAGTTCGATGCTCATTGGACTAATACATCATGAATTATTTAAATACTTAAAGTCAGGTCAAAATTGGCTGAGAATGGTTAGGTAGAATTTCTTAAAATATTCACTCATTTTCACCTTTTATGTCATTTAATTCTGACATAAGATTTAGTCCTGAGTGAATTATCGTATCATTTGTATCCAGCTTATCTTGTTGAAAATCCAGATCTCGCTATCAAATGTTTACCACCAATGTTAAAAAATTGGCTTTATTTTTTTTTGTTACGAAATTTTTGTTTTCCTTGCCTGGGGAGTTCTTTTTTTCCTGAATTTCTCTCTGGCAACCAGTTGTGACTTACAAACTGACTGGGACATAAGAAAAGATATATTTCTCCCAGGAAACCGTCGACTCCTCCTTTAAAATTACCTCCTCGAATTTATGCAATGATCACAGACACTGGTGAAAAACGCACTGCGCATGTCCACAGCTTTCCCGCCAGTAGGCGCTCGCGTCTTGAAATCTGTAAACAGAGCGCCTGGCGATTTACAGCGACCTAAACACAGAAAACACTACGAAAAACTTCATTTTCTCAAAATAGAAACGACAAAATAAAAATAGAAACTACATGCTAAAAGGACCTATCATGAACAAAGATTGATGGAAATATGAATCTTATATATTGGTGAACGAGCTTATAAATTGTAAAAAAAACTTTCACAAAAATCGCTTTACAAAGGAAATTAGGCAGATTTCAGCGGGAAAGCTGTGGACATGCGCAGTGCGTTTTTCACCAGTGTCATGATGACATCATTTGCAATCTCGTACCCAGCGCCCTTGTCCCTCTTACTGCGCATGCTCGACGAAAAACAAACTGTTTTTCGTCGAGCCTGCGAGTAAGAGGGACAGTGGCGCTGGGTACGAGATTGACATCATTTGCAGCCAGCTTACCTTGTTGAAATCGCTGATCCCTTAATGACAGGTTTATCATCAGTGTTGAAAAATTTAAAGTCGATATAGGTATAATAGACAAATATCGAGAACTGTCTCCCCGAGTTCACTTTGTTGTTGAATAGGCTGAAAACGTTAGTATATTTGCTTCCTGCACCTTTAAACCAGAAAGCGATGGTAAAATCGGTTCTGCGAATGTCGAATTTTGGTATTGTCGCATAGTCATCAATCCCATCAAAGTATATTGCCTTTCGGGAATCCTTGGTTTGAATGGCCGCTCCACCATGCAAGCTGAACAAAGTTGATAATTAGTTCTTTTAAAAAAAATTCTTTCAAATAATTTTCTGTTTTAGGGATCAGGTTAAAAAGCACCTGTAAAAATAATCTCTGGCAGAGAACACCCTGTCCAGTCATTTCCTCAACAACTGACACACTTCNTTTTCTTTATGCTACAATGCATATGATTTTTCCATGGATGAGTGAAGTGAATAATTATTGTTATTCGAAACGATCATTAATTTTAAAGGGACACTGTCAATGGCACGCATGCGCGAGTAAACGTAAACAGATCTAGAATATTCCAAAGTGTGTCAAAAGCACCACAAAATGATTTACCTCGAAGGTTATACTTTCAAAGTCCGTTAGAGGTGAGACTGTTACTGCGCATGTCATCCATTGACAGTGTCCCTTTAATTTATCCTCTAGTCTGCAAAGAAAATATTTCAAAGTTTTTCGCAGATAAATGGATRTTCTTCGGAACATGACTCAAAGCTCCAAGTTGTAATCGATCCCTTGTCCTTTCTCAAATACAAGCAATCCTTGCTAGCGTCCTGATTTTGTACTGCAKGYATGTATGTCAGCGGTTTGTTGTCAGACCACTTGAGGGTACCTTCCTTGTMGATATCATTCAATCCAATCCATGCTCCAAAATAGCGACCAYCTGAAATACAAATTTCTGTAATGAATTAAAGAATTCAMATTTATCTGATCGCCATCCAGCACTTTTCGTCATCGATCTTTTTCTATTGCAGAGTACTGAATGTTTTCTTAGAGACTGATTTCAAGCATCCTCGGGAACCCAGGGGTAAACTTCTGTCGTTCATTCCTCACTCCCAGAAAAAATACCCCTGGGCACGAAGTCTGTTAGACATTGTTCTCGATTCGAAATTCAAAATGGCGGCCGGTAAATTTCTGATTGGTCGAGTGATTCACTCGAACATTCTGATTGGTTGATTAACTTACCGGCCGCCATTTTGAATTTCCCGATCCAAAGTCAGATGGATTTCATCATCTACTAAATTGATAATTGTCTTGATCTGATTCATACTGCACTATGCCCTAAAACACTAAAATCGTCAAGGACCTTCAAATAAATCAACCCAAAACAAAGTTGCTAACATTGCCCAAAAGCACTAGAYGATAATGTGAAGAACTTGAAACCAGCAATAAATCCTGCTTGCTTCAGTTTCCTTACATGAATAGTTATTTTCACAGACAAAAAATAATAATAATCACTGGGTTTTTCTGAGTTGTGAATTTAGTACAACAGTAAAAAACAGAAACGGCAGAATCCCAGTCAAACTCAGACCTATCTAGAGCTCTTCTGACTCCGTTCATTAGTAAATTATAGTTGACTTAAACAAGAGATTTTTTTACCTTTTAAATTCACGACTTCAGTTTGTTTCAATTCTTGCGGAATACCAACTAATTGACTGATCCATCCATTGAACATCTTTGTTCCAGCTTGTCCACCAATTTCGTAATGCGACTTTCCAGTGACGCGCAGATCCACGTTAGCTAAAGGTGAGATGACAGTTTTCTTCAGTACTCCATCGAGGTACGTTTTACATCTCTTTGCTWGTCGATTCCAAGTGACAGTCATGTGATACCATTGCCCGATGGGAAAATCACTAAATGCAGATCGAGAAATGGCTTTTAAGATAATCATTTTAACATCATTTTAATCATCTTGACTTTTGAGATAAATTTATGTTTTAACTTAAGCTTATTTCAAATTTCAAGACGTCAGGCAAACATTCTATACTGAGATATAATGCCGATCGAAAAGACTTTTTTAAAATCACGTTTGGAAAAAAATATAACTGAAAATTCCATAATCAGCCTACTGAATAACAAGTAGTGGATTGAAAGACAATGTATTAATTTACAATCTACATTTTACTATCTACTCCATGATCTWCTTTTGCTTTTCATTTCCATCATTTCAACATATATGACCTGCCAAGACGTCGAGACCACCATTTTGTATTATGGGAGCTTACTCAAAGATATTCAGGATTAGGTCAAAATTTGCCGAAAACCACATTATATCATTCTCCACAAGTCCACGCATTTCCACCTTTTACGTCATTTTAATGTCGACATAATATAACCTCCTCGAACTTATGCAATGTTCGCATCATTTGTAACTTACCTTGCTCGAATTCCTGATCCTTTAGTAACAGATTTAGCATTAGTGTTTAAAAATTTAAAGTCGATAAAGTTATAATAGACAAATATCGAAAACTGTGTCACAGAGTTGGCTTTGTCGTTTAAGAGGTTGAAAAACCCATATGTGTTTCCAGCACCTTTAAACCAGAAAGCGATGGTAAAATCGGTTTTGTGAATGTTGAATKTTGGTATGGTMGCATAGTCATCGTGTCCATCAAAGTATATGGCCTTCCGGGAATCTTTGGTTACTATTGTTGCTCCACCATGCAGGCTGAAAAAGATAATTAGACCAAAAAAATATTCATATTCTATTAAGAGTCTCCTTCACGGTTCCCTGCGCCATCTTGAAAGGTAGCCTTGCCTTTGCATTGAAGCGAGACGACCGTTGAGCGTGCAATGATAGAAACCTTCTTTCATACCTACAGACAATAATTCACAGGTATCTATCATTGCACGTTCAACGGTTGTCTCGCTTCGATGTAAAGTGACGTCTACCTTTCGAGATGGCGCATGTGATCGTGAAGGAGACTATTTTCTTTGATGTTGTTTTAAGGGTCAGGTATAAAAGCACATGTACAAATGTCTGGAGAACACCCTGTCCAGTCTTCACTAAGAAATATGAATTTGAATATATCGAATGAGTTGTAAACTGTGCCAGCTGTTGTAAACTGTACTAGCACTCTCTGATATACTGACAGCTGACAGTCGGCAGTAACAGTGATAAAAAAGGGGTTAAATGAAATAGGACTATGAAAGAAAGGTGGCTTTCCTCACTATCTGAAGGTTTCCAGGCTTCTGCTAATTAAGAAATCAAAATTATCTGAAAACAAAATGAAACCAAAATCACAATGCATATCTTAAATGTATTTAAATGGCTCGTTGGATGAATTTCATATGCAAAGTGGATTGAACTGATGGATTCTGGGCTGGTGGATTCTACTTGGATCAACATCACCTTGGAACTCTGATGCAAAATGTGTTTGTTGCCAGAAGAATTTTTAGCCATAGGTATGACCAATAGCCACACGCATCTACAATTATAATACTTTCAAACGATTTATTTAATAGAGGAAAATTTGTACGTACGGTAAAGTAGGGTTTCTTCAACGAATCTGTATTCTGTATGTGATCCAAAAGACGCCAAGTCGCCCCCAAGAGATTTGCAATGGGCCCTTGCATTACTCCATGACATTTTGTCGTAAGCAATCTTGAACTTTGACGAGTTGATTTGAAACCAACCATCTTCTAGAGCTAAACAGAAAGCTTTTCATTAAACGTATTCTTCCGAAAATAGAAATGAAAGAGTGCAATTCAAAGTGCAAAGGCAAACATTGAAGCAGTTATTCTCTTTAATGATGTTGTAATACAAACCTTCTTTTTTTGCGCACAATTCTCCTTCACAATGCAGAAAACTCTGTAAATAATTGAGAAACAATGTAGTATTAGATTTTTAAAACTGTTTAGAGTTTTAGTGTAATTCTTTTGTAAAAATTTAATTCATTAGTCTCAG